AACTAACCTAGATCAAACTAACTGAACCAAGAAAAAGCAGATTGCTTAATAAAAAATATTTTCAATCTAAAACTTCTGTTCTACATTTTGAGAGATATAAAGTATGTGTTATGTTTAAAAACAAAACATTTTTAGAGTTACAAATAAATGTTTGTAAATATACTGGTAATTCAGTGAATCCTTGATATTAGATTTGCACAGGAATCAGTCCATTCTGAAGCTTTTTATTTAGCTGAATAATTACCATTGAACAATCACTGTACCTATTAACAGTGGGTGGTTTGTACTTTTCATGTACACTGTACCCGCCGGGCCTCATACATCGTACCTTGGGCTTCCTTGCTTTGAGTGCTTGCCGGTACTCGCCGTTGCAGGTGGCCTTACGGGAGATCTTCACACGCACTCTGCCTCTTCTCGCCTGCCACAACTTCGAATCTTCCAGTGGGTGGGGCTTTGAGCGACACGGTTGCCCTCGTTGGTTGCCTGCTTCTTTGATGTCTTCTGCGAGGCTCCTCTTCCCCTACACCTCGCCCTTCACCCAGCCTGGCGGGTCCTGGTTGCTTCTGTGATTGACCGTACACTCCCTTAAATGCTTAACAATGAACCCACCTCTCACTCCCTCTGTCTTCCTACCTCCACACCACCTCAGCCCCTTCTAATACGGGGAAACATAAAACACCTTTCACAACTCAAATGAGAAACTTAAGTACCAATAGAGGCATAACCCCGCCCCTATTGGGCTTCCTTATGGAGCACAGCCGCTTATTGATGGAGCCACCTCCACGTGGCCCAGCTCTATGACCCCACTCCACCTATCCAGGCGCAATGCCACTCCTCCAGTATCCCACCGGCGTGACCCTCTCTCTAGATCTCTTGAGAGCAGCGACCCCCTCTCTGGGTCTTTACCACGGCGTTGCCCTCTCTCTGGGTCCCCGCCTTGCTGCTGCCCTCTCTCTGGGTCCCCGCCTTGCTGCTGCCCTCTCTCTGGGTCCCTGCCTTGCTGCTGCCCTCTCTCTGGGTCCCCGCCTTGCTGCTGCCCTCTCTCTGGGTCTTCCCCGATCCGCAGCCCTCTCTCTGGGTCTTCCTCAAACTGCAACTGGGTTGCCTCCTCGTGGCTCCCCTCTTTCTGGGTCTTCCCAACAAGGCTGCCTTCCCTCTGGGTCTTCCCAGGTCCGCTGACCTCCCTGCGCCCTGGGATCTCCTACCGCTTTGTCTCCTTGCTTGCCTGCAGCTGTCGTTCTTGCTTCGGGTGCTGGCTTGCTGCCGAGCTCCACCGCAGCTGGTGCGCACAGTCGCTTCTGGCGTCCCGCGCTTCCGGCTAACACCACCGGCCAGGCTCTCTCCCGGCACCCACGTGCCCCCACTCCCTCTCACTGCTGGCCCTTTTATTTCCACCAGCCGGCGATTGTGAGTGACGTCATCCGCCGGGCCGCAGGTGCCTTAAGGCGTGATCAATGCCCCGCGTGGGCTTTCCCCACCATCCTTGCTCCTCCCATCCTGCGGTGAGCAAATTTTTCTTTTTTTACTTTCTTTTTTCCTGTTCCACCCCCAGCTCCTGGCCCTGGGGTTCCCCTCGTGGACTCGGTAGTCTCTCTGGTTTTTCTCTCCCTGTGACATACGCTAAGGACTCTTAGCAGTGTTAAAGGGCCTGAAGACTCTCAGATTTTATTTACACCTGGTTTAAGGCCACACACAGCCAAAACAGTGTAAAGTGACAAGGTTACGTCATCAAATCATGTTCAGCACTAAGTCTTTATCAACACAGCGCAGTTCTGCCAGTCCACAACATATGTTCCTATCTCTCTTCCAACCTGTTTGCTTTGAAAGAGGGAAAGGTTAACATCCTGTACAGTCTCAGCCTATCTTCTCAACATAATGGATGGAAACTATTTTAATCGGGTATGTTACAAAAAAATAAAACACATCTTTTAAAAATGTCACTGACCATAACAGTATCTCCAGAAAGATTATGAAAGCTCTTCTATACATTTTTCTTATACAGGAAGATACATTTCTATATTACCTTCTGCTTCCTGGAATGGAGAATTGCTTGTTTAGATTCCAGTATATTCTGTCTGCCTATTGAAGATATTATACCTGTCACTCAATACTAGACTGCTTTTTTCCATCTTGTCCAATTCTCTAAAGTCATGTCACATTTAAAGCTAATTAAAATCTGCCATTAATATTCTTGGCAAATATTACTATGAAAAAATATTAGGGATATCTCTCTATGGTGTTTCTGTCAGCCCCATAGATCTAATCTTTGAACAGGTAAATTGCAGTTGTTTTATAAGATGATTTTTTTCATAGAGGACTTGACTCTACTTATTTCAAGTCATAGCATAATTTTAGTATTAGTTTTATTTCAGTGCTGGGGTAAAGCACTCACCAATAGATCGCTTTAGCAAACAAGTATTTCTCACAGTTAAAATTAGTCTGATTTTAACTGGAATCAGACTCTGGTAGTTCATTCTGCAACAAGCCTCTTGATTACAAAACCAATTCTATAGTACAGGGCAGAACTGGACACCCAGTTCAACATGAGTTGTTAATTGCTTCTGTCGTGTGTGTGTGTGTGTGTGTGTGTGTGTGTGTGTGTGTGTGTGTGTGTGTGTGTGGTACAGCACTTTCCACAGCTGTTCTTTCTAATCACTCACACCCTCCTCCTGCCCTTGCCTCCCTTTTCCCTATTGTTTGTATTTAAACTACTTTATTCCCTTCTACTTAGAACCTTTGCTCTCTGTAAGTCCATTTATAACATCTGAGAGAGAAATCTGTTGCTTATGAAAGCTTAGGCCTCTCTGAACAAGTTAGTTTTTAAGGGTGAAGTTAAACATTACATTTAGACTATACTAAGGGCACTTAAATCACAAGGAATTTCTAAATAAGCAGTCCAAAATTCAAAGGAGTTCAGCACTGGCTGGTGATATCATCTAAAAATCTGTGTGTGGTTTTTCTGTGCATTTATGGACCAATACTTGATAAAATCAAAGAATTTCAAAATGGTTGAGTTGTGCAAGTCTAACACGGTACTGATACCCCTTACTGAAGCATATTGGATTCCAAATCTGGGTTTTTTTGGTAACTTAAACACTTCTAAGCTTTTCTTCATTTAACACTTGTTGGTCTTAAAATCTTTATAATCAAAGCCAATTTTTCCCTTAGGTCTTGTACACTTGTTGATTTGCTTGAAGTGTAATTGGTAGTGTTTTTTCTAAGGGAATAAGTTGTCCTAGTATAAAGAATGGCAGTTTGTATAATTATGTCTACTTGAAACTAGAATATTTAGACCTGCATCTCTGAAATAAAGGAAGTGACAAGCTGGATAAGTTCATTTCTTCACACTTGTTAAAAGGGTAAGCTGATCTTCCTATACATTTTCTTTTTCACTCTTCTCTTATTGCTAAACAAATTGAAGTAACACCTTCCTAGAAGAAAGTATCTTAAAATGGAACAGTTCAGACTAGCACTCAATGTATCCAATGCTTAGATTAGAAAGTAGAAGAATCTGTAACATTAAAAATGCTAAATACAGACATTTAAGTAATTCAATATTATGGTGAATAATGTAGCATCGAGAGTTCTGCAAAAATTTTGCCAGAAGCCAATGGAGTAACAAGTACCTGTGATAACGAAAGTAGGGTAAAAGTGCTAAACAGAATTATAAATGATAAATCAGATGTGTTGGTTACAGCCAGTCACAGTTACTCTAAGGGTGGGAACATAGGAATGCTTTGAACCTATGCAAAAGAGGAACATTTCAAAAGGGCATCCTGGTACATTCTTATTGTTAGGTGGGAAAGAACTGAGAACAATTGAAATGCAGCACTACAGTTCCAACTTCTTTATCCAAGGTTAAGGTTGGAGCAGGGGTTTGCTGCGTTTGAATTGTTCTCAGCTCTTTCCCACATTCTTTTGCCCAAGCAATTTCAGGGAAAGCTTTTAATTTATTTTAAAAAGAAAAGGAACTTAAGAAAGGAGAGTGGAAATCACTTCTCACATGGTTTCATATTCTACAATATCTGCTTACTCCTGGTAGGAAATATATGGGATATAAAATACCCAGTGTGGCAGTCCACTTGAGCATGTTGAATTAAGAAAGAATAAAATTAATGAGAGAATAAAAAGTTTAGGCTAAGGTACATTAAGGCAGCAGTGTCTAACCTTCTGGCCTCATGGGTGGGATGAGTAGTGCAGTCAGTCTGTGGGCCAGATCCTGCATGGGGTCAGTTTATCAGTGTGATCCAGCATGCCAATCCAACCCCAGCTACAAGGATCTGACTATGTCCTGACCCAACCCCATACTCCCAGATCCAGCCACACAGAAAGCTGTATTGTCTGGCCCATGGGGCTCCCCACTGGTCCAGAAATTTGGCAGTAGGTGAGAGATGAATGACACTGCCACTGCTCCCTGGCCACAAAATTTGGATCCTTGGAAAGCCCTGCAGGCCAGATGCCATGGCATCATGGGCTAGGGGTTAAGCACTGCTGCATTAAAGGTATTATTGACACCTTTGTCTTTCCTCTTTCTGTGACAGTGTAGTTTGTTTTGCCTGGTTTTGTTTTATTACACCAGGGCTAATTTGACTGAAGCATACAAGAAAGGCTAGAGTGGATGTTCTTAGAGACCCTTTTGGACAAATGGTAGCCTGTGAAAGCAGGGCTGGACTTGATAGTCTGAATAAGTTCCTTCTGGTCCTATGTTCTTGTTACATTTATCTAAGGATCATAAAAAACGAATGCTGGAGATCAGAGTTTCACAAACTTTTTCTTATTCCATACTCCCTTCCAGATTTACCAGTTGCCCATGCACCCCTACCAGCATGTGTGTTATTTTAACCCCTTAAATGCCAATTACTATTATTAGAATGAAAATTAAACCCACCGTTACACAATTTCCCAGAGATGTCTTGTGTACCCCCAGGGGTATGTATACCACAGTTTGGGAACCCCTACTGTAGTTATTCAAATCACTCCTAGTAACTTTCAGCAACAGCTAATTCAAATGTGTAGTTTATTACAGTTTGTCCATAAAGAATATTAGGTGCATACATGGAATTAGGCTGAATCATAAAGAGAATCAGGTTGTATCCTTAGTTGACTGATTCAGCCTCATGGCGAATAAGGTGGTGGCAAGGGTTCTGCAGAAATTTTGTCATAAGCTGGTGGAGCATCAGGTACCTGTGATAATGACAGGGTGAAAGTGCTAAACAGAATGAATGCATTGATTTATAGGTAAACCACATTAAATATGACACACAATGAACTTTTAGCCAGCTTCCTCATCTGCTTACAGGATTTCACATCATAAGTACTACTATAGATATAAAACAGCAGAATTTTCTTGATTGTGACTTTAAAGGGGATGGGGAAGGAAAGGAAGTTTGGTCTTGCCCAGCATGCATTCTGATTTTGTGACAGATAGGGTTTACTTTGCCCAACCCACTGCAATTCAAGAGTAACATTCAGTACTGGAAGAAATAGACAATTTTAATGAAAATATTTTATGTATATCAGGTTGTTTGCAATAAAATAATTTGGTCTTGCTACATGTAAGGCCCTAATTTATTGTGTATTGACTGTATGTTGTTACATGATCATCCTTTACCCTTTTTCTCAACATTTTTAAATCCTATAACTTAATAAGGTAAATTTAACCATTCACATTAACTTGTACTGATTTTATCATTCATGCCTCCTAGTGACTCCAGAAGCTAAATACCTGAGTTCATGCTATTGTAAATAGCTTATACATGGATGTTGGTGTTTGAAGCACCTAAAAACACACTCTGTCACATTATAGATCCACTTAGAATTCATAAAAATACTAGACTAGTTCAGAGGAAGGACCTGCTTGTGACATGTAACTATAATTGCGCAGTTAATAGATCACAAAGGAATGATCATGCAACAACTAAATTAAAATTGGAGACTGGTTGAGGAGGAAAAGAGTTTTTGGTTTTTTTTAAAGACAATCTCTTGTAGATTTCACAAATCACTTTCTCTCTTAGAATTACACAAGAGGCTACTCCTCTTAATAAATCACACCAGGGTGGGAAAGATTCAATGTGTGTGATCCAAACCTGGTGAAGAAGCCATTGCCAGAAAGGAAGAGTGCTATATCAGTTGTTTATAATAGATCTCGTTGGCTCAAGATCGTGTTACTAATTATTGTAGGAAAAGAAACCTTGGATTTTAACTTACCACAGAGTTAAAGTTGCTATACTGTTGTAAGGGCCCTTTGGAATCCAGCAGGGCACGTCCACTTGCAGAGGTTCTTAAAGTGCTAACACCAGAGCTTTTATTCTGAAAGCCAGTGAAGAGAGATGGAGGAGTAAGAGAACTAGACACCTTGAGCACAGCATTAATGAAATATTTAGTGTGTGGAGGTCAATTTATAATGCTTACAAGAATGTGGGACTAAAGCCAAGGATAATGCCAGCAGGAACTGTGAAAGCTGCTTGATCTCTGCTAAGGCAAGCACACTTTCACAGAAACCCGATCATGAACTGTGCAAAAGTGGAAAACATGTTGTTTGAACTTCCACCCTTTTCTAACTTCCACATTCTTTGCTGCTGGATCTTTCTTCAGCAATCATGTTTCTCCCCCTGCCACACACTTCTCAGATTATCCCTTCCTCTCGCCTGTATCCTTCCTCAGACTTGTAGTCTTCTCTTTCACTTTCTTTCTCTCTTCCAGTTTCTCCCTCAGCAAAGCGCATTAATTGCAATTACAGTAAAAAATCAAACAAAACAAAGTGGTGAGCTACAAAAAGAAGAAATAAGTTTGTGCTCTTTTCTGTGATGTATAAAAGAAAGCCTGAAAGAGGTTTGGTTCTGGATTTTACTTTATAAATTCAGGTTCTGTACACTCTGGAAGAAGCGAGACATTATAGTGGAGAAGTAATAGGATTTTGTCATCAGAAGTGATAAGGAAATGCATCTCTGATTAACTGAAATGATTTTTTTTTATTCAGAATCTTTATGTGGCCCAGGACAGAGCCCTGGGCCCAGCCAATTCCAATTAAAGAATCAAGGCAATTCACCTCCTGAGGCAGCAGGGAAAACATGTGCTAGCTGCAGTAAGCCTGGATTATTGCCTTGGCCCCAGCTGGTCTTAGTGGGTCTTAGGCAGTCAGAGACAGTCACCTGACAGACAGGTGATGTCGTAGAGCTGGGTTCCTAGGAAGCCAGGAGTCAGGGTTAGCCAGAAGTCAGAACCAGAATCAAGAGTCAAAACCAGAGATCTGATAAACGCGGATCCTGGTTTTCACTGATAAAAAAATTGCAAATTCTCTCTTAAAACCCCCCAAAATCCATGATTAAAATAAAAGGCCCCCCAAAGCCCTGCTGGTGCCACTCTTTATCCCCCCCCACCCACAGCCCACTGCCCACCCACAGTCCTGCTGGAAAGGACCCCCAGCTGCCAGGTCTACAGGGTCCTGGCCCCCGGTCCACAGCCCCCTGCCTCTCACAGGAGGCCATAGCTGAGTGGAGCCTGGATCCCCTCCCTGTTGCCTGCCTGCTATGGGCTCAGGCAGGGGAGGCCAGCTCCCCGCTGCTGCATGCCCTACCCGGGGATCTGAGTGCAGGGTGTGCTGCATGCTCAGGCAGGAGGGGGCAGCTCCCCGGCATTGTGTGCACTCCCCAGGGGGCTGTGGAGGCCCCGGGGTAGGGCAGCAGGGCAGAAGCTTGAACTGGCAGCCCACCCCCAACCCTGCCCCCTGCACAGATCTGGGGGGGCACAGGTCCCCTCTGCCTCTCAGGATTGCGTGCAGTGCTAAGGAGCCAGCCCACCCTCCAGACGAGCTGCCCACAGCCCCATCCTGCTCCCCATTGAGGCTCTACAGCTGCACATTGGGGCCCCGGGCCCCAAGCTCCATACACTGCTTGGCTGGCAGCTGTCTCAGCCCCAGCCCTGCCCAACTACTCCCCTCCCTCCCTATGGGGGCTCAATACCCTCCCCACACCTACTTACCTGCGGGAGTTGCTCTCCAGGCTGCCTGGGCCGAGCGCATGTACATGCACATGGCGCCCCTTGCCTGACTGCCCTCCTCCCGCTCCCTCCCAGCTCCCTGCAGGCTGGAACTGTGCCAGCCTGCAGGGAGCACATTGCAAAACTGTGAAATCCATGGGCTGCTCCAGTGAGAAATCTGCATTTGCCTCTGGTAAAAGGTAAAATGCGCGGTTTTCTCCATTTTTCCATGGGAAACAGGAAACCTGGATCCCTGCTGATAAGTGAAACAAGGAAGTACCTAAGTCTTTGTCCCCACGCAGTACTGTGAGCTGGAGCAGGTGGGGCCTGTTGCATGTAGCCTCAGGGACTTGGCTATCTTGACTGCGCCACTAGAAGAGAGTGGCCAGGTCACTGCAAGTGGTGCCTGTTCCCCTGATTCTGAGTGGGGCCGACTGGGCCCAGGACTCTCCTGGTCTTATTACACTTCCTATCTGTTTAGCAGTACTCACTTAGTTAAATTATTTTGGCAAAAAGCTTCTCCTGGTAAGCATCCAGAACTGTCGTCCCTTTCAAATAAAAGGCAACAGAATCTTCAAGGTAAGCTTTGAAATTTCCAGGAGGTGCAAAAACAGGGAAGACTGAATTTTATTCCTGATATTTATAAGGCCACTGGCAGATTAATGTTGCTCAGTGGAAACAGTCACACCACGTGACCTGCTTCACGTTACAGGGCAAGCTAACCAGGGGGGAAAAATGTGTCCTGTGTGCTTGTTTTGCCAAAATTTGCCAGCAAGGGAGCTGGAGGGCTGCTGACATCTAGTACCTTCTGATGTCCTGCTATTGACTCTTAACTGTCCATAGATAAATAAGCAGCTCTTCTGACCCTTGCTCAGGGAAGGGGAGATCTGTGAGAAGGGGAGGGAAGCAGGAGCAATAAGGCTAAAAGACTCCCAGAACACCTTATGAGGTGCTTCTGTATGTGTGCTTTTCCTTTTTTCCAATTTTTTCCCCACCAGCAGCAAACAAATTCACTCCCCCTCTCCCCGATTAATGTGTCTAAGTAACACACTTCATATGAGTATTTGTTCACACTCTGCTTCTCACAGGGAAGAGGTGCTAATGGCTCCTTGAAGAACCAGCCTTCAGAGCTGCTTGGAAAAAGAGGCATGACTTAAGGACCTGCTTAATTTGCAGTTTCACAGATTTCAAGGAAACTGAAACAACAAGAAAATCAACAACAAAAGTGCTGGCTGCCTAGTGGTCCTTGCTGCTGGTCGCTGCCAGGAAGGGAAGGTGCCAGCTAGCAGGGTGGCATGAGGGGCAGCAGACAAGATAGTGGCTGCCCCCTTGTCCCGCTCCCCCCCTA